TCCGAGACAGCCGCCGTCACCCCCTCCAAGATAGCCGTCCCCACTCCCCTCCCCGAGACAGTCGTCGATACCACCTCCACTCCCACCTCCGAGACAGCCATCCCCAATCCCCTCCCCGAGACAGTCGTTGATACCACCTTCACTCCCACCTCCGAGACAGCCGCCGCCACCCCCTCCAAGATAGCCGTCCCCAATCCCCTCCCCGAGACAGTCATCGATACCACCTCCACCTCCGAGACACACGTCCCCAATCCCTTCCCCAGGACACCCGTCCCCAATCTCCTCCTCGAGACACCGGTGTTGAAGTCCACTTCTTCTCCGCAGTCCTCGTCTTTGGAGATTAAAGTTGATCGACAAAGACGACCAGGACGTGCTGTTGTAAGTAGTCCATATCGAACCGAGGAGAATAGACGGTACGCCGAAAATAAGGGCGAGTTTGAACGGTTCCTCAAATCCGAGAATAATGAAATGTAAGTACATCCAAAAGATCTTTCATTGTTTATATTTAAAAAAAATAACTTTATATTATATTATTTAATAGGAGGAATGTCGGCATTCCATATGTGGTGGACAAAGGGTGGTTTAAGAAATTGGTTAATCCGAATGAAATGATGCTTGATGAGGTATGTATATGTTTGTCTTGTAATATTTAAACATATAAAAATGAATTAATGGATGATATTTGGTTTGATTTTATAAAACAGCACGTGAATGCATACTTGGGGATTATGCAAAGTAATCCACTCTTTTTGGACTTGGAGCCACGGCAAGATATGTTGGGCACTTACACCATCGTGCCGACTACTTTTTTTGTGAGATTATTTTAATTCTTTCTCTTTTCCTTGTCATTCTGTTTTTATTAATAATTATATTAATAACATTATTATTTATTATTTTATTGTATTTGATATAGATGATGTTGGATGAATTGGAGAAGGAGATGGATAAGGGGGGAGTGGACCTGGAATCGGAGGCCCTCCGATCTTTGATTCGCATTGCGACTGAGGGGGTCAGCGGTTGGGGGAATCCGTGTCCTTGGAGGGAGATTCAATATGTAAGTTTTCAATGATTTCGAACCAATTAATATTGCAATCTTTCCTAAAAAAATTAGTGAATTTCTCACAACTCAATGCAACAGATTATTGGAGTAGTGAATTTGACCGGCCACTACGTGACTGTCCAGATCTCTTTACACAAGGGGACGATACGTGTGTTTGACTCTCTACGGCATACGTATTTAGAAAAGAAGAACGAGCACATTCGCGAAAATCGCATCAAAGGACTGCAAAAAATCCAAAATCTAATTCCAGTGATTGCGACGTATGCGGAAGTAGAGGGAATGAACCAAAAGTTCGAATTGGAATTCATGGACCCCAAAAATACTATCTTGCAACATGATAAAATTTCTTGTGGTGTATGCGCTGTGGAGATGGTACGAACATTGCTCACGAGGACGATGCGTTTCAAGATGTCTAACAATCAGTTGGCTAAAGCAATGAGGCACAAAATTGCTCTAAAAATTTTTCAGTTTAGTATAGAACCAGACACAATTACCGCCCCAGTTCTTTAAAATTCAATGTAATACATTTTTATTATTATTATTATTTTTTTTTGTATTTTATTATAATTTTGTTGTTTGTTGTATGTATGTGGCATTTCTCATACCTGAAAGAAAAAAAGTTAAACTAAATTAAACGATGAAAGATGAAAGAAATAAAAAAATAAACTTTCGAGTAGAAGTGCGAAGGTGGTATGGGAGCAATATGCGGCAATTCACATACACCATCTCATAACTGAAATAACTAAAAGATGAAAGAAATAAAAAATAAATTTTCGCATAGAAGTGCGAAGGTGGTATGCGGCAATTTGCATACCCCATCGCATAACTGAAATAACTGAAAGATGAAAGAAATAAAAAATAAAAGCTTTCGAGTAGAAGTACGAAGGTGGTATGCGAGCAATATGCGTAAATTCGCATACCCCATCGCATCACTGAAATAACTGAAAGATGAAAGAAATAAAAAATAAATTTTTGAATAGAAGTGCGTAGGTGGTATGCGAGCAATATGCGGAAATCCGCATACCCCATCGCATAACTGAAAGATGAAAAAAATAAAAAAAATAAACTTTAAAGTAGAAGTGCGAAGGTGGTATGCGACGAATATGCGAAAAATCGCATACCCCATCGCATAACTGAAATAACTGATAGATGAAAAAAATAAAAAATAAACTTTTGAGTAGAAGTGCGAAGGTGGCAATTCGAATACACCCTCGCATAACTGAAAGATGAAAGAAACACGAAAAAAACTTATTAAAGTTATTATGCACCAACTCTGCGAATACTATGCGACGTTGGTATGTCGCAGTTGTGTCGCAGAAAGATTTTTTCGACTAATAGTCGCAGATTCATTCGCCTAACAAAAATAATTACTTAATGGGTGACGGACCGCGATTGAACGAATCGTACATCGAATCTCCGAATAATCATCGTAGAACTGTCGCATAGTTTAACTCATAATTTTCTCGCTCATGCTCATACATGTCGCTTATTTAGCGCATAGTTCATCGCATATGTCTTCGTTTTTTTGGGGGTGAAAAACTTAGCTTTTTATTGGGTGGTGTGAAAAACTTAGTATGACTTCAGAACGGGGTGAAAATAGCTATTTCCTCTATAAAATATTATATATAGTTAAAAAATATTATATAATGTATATTATAATACTACCTCCTATTCTTTTTAAATGTCATTTTGCTTTATCAACTATTAACTAAATAAATGTCGTTTTAGATCTTTTGTACATGTTTTTCCATTATTACCCTCATTTAGTCAATAAATACACTACGTCTTTCCATATTCCCTCTTCATTTTTTTCAAAACATTCATCTCTATCTTCATTAAATAAGGTTATTATTGACAACAAAAATATTTATAATTATTGTGCAACTTCTCAAAATGACATTTATTTTGAATAGGAGGGAGTATATATTATGATTATGATATAAATATAATAATCAGACAAATGCATGATTGTTTGAGAATAGCTGACGTTTTCACTCTCAAACAAATAATTAGATTTGCTCATCACTCTCAAACAACTAATCAGGCAAATGCAATGGAGAAAATTACACCTCCTACAACTCATTTGTTAAATATTATTAAAAGTACGAAACTTATGACTTAAATTGAAAGTTACGAAGTTTTAATTAAGGCTTTTGATTTTCTCTCTCCAGATAATTCTTTATCCAACTCCTCTTCTCCAGCCGCCACCAACAAATTCAAGAAGCCCTACCCTAACCACCAACACCATGTTCGGCCTAAATCTCAGCAACAAATCTCCATAATTTAAACCAAGTTTCAGAGCAAGTCAGCCCGAATTTCTTCTCAAGCCCGTCAAATCTTCCCACTGTCTCTATCGGCTTTCTGGCACTAGTTAGACGGCGAGGAGGGCAACACTCGCCGGCGTCTGAAAGCCGCCTACCCAGCGACCAGGCACGAGAAGGCCGAGTTGTCCACGACAGAGACGAGAGCCGGTGACCTGACAGAGGAGGAGTCGAGAGCAGGGCTCTGCGGCTAAGTAATTTCCGAGCCCCAAGCCACTCGCGGGCGAGGTGATTTTTGTGGGCGGTGGAGAGCAACAGCAGCGGCTTAGGGCGATAGCAAGGCTGGCGACCGGAAATCCATCTGTTGTCGGCGAGTCGAGCAGTTTTACCGACGGACGAGAGAGAAAATTACATGTCTACAATATTGGTAAAATAGCTATATGTTGTTTATCTAATGTATAACTAAATACGATTTAGATTTTGCATTTATTCAGAAGTATGTATTATGTTTTATACCGTTTCAGTGTTGTTTATATGTTGTTTATCTTATGTATAACTCTACGGTTAATATTGGAGAAATGTCAGAACATGTTTATCTGATGTATATATACCGTATATTTAAACATATATTTCGTGATTACGAGACAATATATATACAGTACATATGAATTGTTTTAACAAAAAAAGATCTCACGGAGAACAACGCTGCACATTTAAAATGAAGAGAGAGAAACTTAATACCAATTAATAGGGGATAGTTTTTTAGCCTTTAATATGAAGAGAGAGAAACTTACCATTTGCATGAAATGTGGTTTCGTATATATATATATTAAAAAAAAAAAAAATCTCCTCCAAATCCAATGTTGATGAAAAATTATTTTACTATCCAAATGTTGATGAAAACGTATATATTTAAATATTTTACTATATGGTCTCCATATATGTAAATTTCCCAATGCAATGAGCAGGTATTAAAAAAATAAATAAAATAAAATTAGCGGGCCAACTAGAGGACAGTTTTTTAGCCTTTAATATGAAGAGAGAGAAACTTACCATGTGCATGAAATGTAGTTTCGTATATATAAAAAAAAGATCTCCAAATCCAAATCCAATGTTGATGAAAAAATATTTTACTATCCAAATGTTGATGAAAACTTATATATTTAAATATTTTACTATACGGTCTCCATATATGTAAATTTCCCAATGCAATGAGCAAGTATTAAAAAAATAAATAAAATAAAACTGGCGGGCCAGCCACGGCCCGTGGCAGGGGCAGGTTGGGCCAGCTTTTCACAGGCCCGCTCCACCCCGCCAAAAGGCGGGCTTTGGCCAGCCCACCCCGCTGGCCCGTTTTAACAGCTCTAGATGCATCGTATAGGTATTAGGTACTAACCCCTCTGGCCCTCTCAAAAATAGCCTCTTAAATATAATATAAACATCTAGCAACTTCAACTCTGCTATAATAGCGTTTTATAGCTTAAAGAAGCACATGTATGGTCCCAACAGCCAGCTCCAAGCATCGCCCCACAAAGTTAAATAAGAAAAGAGAAAAAAGCCGTTGAAAAAGAACAACATACAAACGTGAATGCAAGCAAAATTACAGTTTTCAATCGAAAAATGAAAAAGAAAAACTTCACCACTGATGATTGTGAGACACTCTTGAAACAACACCTTTCTCAGTCCCTTCCGACCCCAAGAAGCCACTGCGCAAGATGAGTTAAGTACGGCTCAGCATAAGAACTGCTGCTCAATATTGGTCCAAGACTCTCAAGTTCCCTCGAAAACTCCTTCTCAAACTTCCTGCAGATTACGCGTGTTAGACTTTACAGGGAAAACGGGTAGCATCATACTAACAAATTATGCGATTATCTTTTCAAAATTATCGAAACACTTCTTTACGGCTAGGATTTTCTTAATAAATACGGGAATAGCTCATATATGGCTTGGGGGTATATTTGCAGTTTGAAAGATTTTCGGGGTGTCAAGAAAACTTCCAAATTGTTTTAACTTACAGGATGGATTCAACAACTGCTGCATTTTCAGGAGCGTCATTCAGCAACTGGGATCGGCTTCTTAGTTTCAGCTTTTTGTATCTATCCACATTGGGACTCTCAGTGTTGGGGTTATCGTTTGAGTATGTAACAAGCCATTGAGCTGCTGAGGCATACTGAAGGCATATCGATTTCATTTTCTCTAGCTTCTGCGTTGAACAAAGTCATTGTTGAGCAATGGGAATCCAAGAGCAACAAGCACTTTCAATCAAAGCTAAATCATGATTTATAATTCAAGGTGCACTGTGGAACATGTAGATTCCTATGAAATTACGGAATGCTTTAGCACTAGAAAGTAGAGGTAATGTCTACACAGAGAAAATATAAAAGTAATCTCAAAATGGGTAAATTCATGAGTCAGGTCAAGTCAATGAAATCACAGAATGTAACACTTGTACTTTGAAATACCACGACGACTGGGAGACGAATTATAATTATTAACAAAAAAAATACGGAAAATATATATAGAAGCACAATTCTCTGTTGGATGAATTACTAGTATTGTGTACTTACAATCAATCAATTCACCAACAAACCGTTAAAATCTTACTAAGTGGGGTGGCTATATGGATCACATGTTGCCATAGTGCACGATCAAAACAAATATCCTCAGTCAAATTTAAATATTTTAAATCATTTTTATTATATCCTTCAAAGTGTTCTTAGGTCTATCCCTACCCCTTTTAAATTTGCGCGTACTTATCCACGAGGTAATTATATATCAGTAATGCATCATACCTTGAGAAGAACGGGTGACAGAAGCAAACATTCCCTCAAGCACTTCTCAAGAAAAAAGTCGTGATATTGTATGACCTGCAATACAAAGTTAGTGGAGATAGAAATGTATTACAATCAGTCCAAGAAATCATGTAAGGTAATATGAGCTACAAGTTAGATGCATTTCAACTTCTGTTCTTACGGAAAGTATGCAGATATAATTACAAACTATGCTGAAGAGGAGAGCTTTCTACCTCATCAATACTCTTTGCAGTTTGAAGTCTATTATGCATGACATGCCAATTCGGCTCAAGAACCTGAAAGCCGCCATAACAAGGAAGGAAAAGATAATAACAGCAACAATAATATATAAAATAAGATGAGCCATCATCACGGCCAGCACATCAAACATGTCGAGGAAAATAGAGAAAGGGGGAACTACCTCGAAAGTCAAATAATGTAGAAGGCTATTGATAAACTTAAGCATATTCCGGCACAGCAAGGATGATACAGAAATTGCTATTCCTTGCATATCAAGTCTACGAAAACCCTACAATATGCATCTCCGGAAATTGTTAGAAAGGTGAGTAACCATTAGAGATTATAAATAAGTTTCAAGCACCATACTTGATGTAATTGCCATGCTGCACAAAGTTGCCGATTCACATGCTTGCAATGGAATAGAAACCGAAATATTAACTGATATTTCGTTAAAGCTTTTCTTGAGATAACGAGGGATAATGGCCATCGGACCTGAAATAAAATATACTCACTTCATTAAAATGATAATTGGAATGAGGTTACAAGATAATACAAAGTCAGCTGACCACTTCAATCAATGGTCCAAAATTATCATGCTCCTACAAAGCAATATTTGAACTATGCACAACCTCATATTGAACTTGACACTGCTTTTAGTGAAACCTTTTTGGAGAGCAAACTAAGTAAAACAAATCAAGAGTGTGTTGTGTGTTAATGCATATACAAACCTTGAAACTCAAAGAAAATGTTTCCAAGCCTGTAATGCTCACAGGTTCTTCTAGGTCATTGCTGCTGGAAACACTCTGTTTCATTTGAAGATCTTTGAGCGTGCTCAGCCTTTTTAACAGAGTTGTTCTTTCCTGTAATAATGTTACATTTTGTCAAACAAGTGACATCATATGGTCCCATATCATACATTTGTGACCTCATAAAAAAATATAACACTGACCACACAACATGTTAAGTCCTCATGACATGGATCTGCTACAGCTGCTGTAGATCGCAATGCAAGGTCCAGGAGAGACTGCACAGAAAGTAGTTTGTATAAGCAGTATCCTAGTGAAACAATATTTTAACTCACACTAGACTACAAGAAGAAATTTAAAGATCAAAATAATTACTCTTGCAAATAATATGTGCATAAAGACACACCTGCAGCTTTTCAGCAGAAATCTCATCCGGCTTTTTCATGAGCTCCTCGCGAGCTATATCCATGAAGTGAACCAAAAAGTCACCCTGCAACCTCAATAGAAATGAGAAAAATGGGCGAGAAGCAAATTGCGAAAATATAAATAGCATCTCTAAAATCTACAGAGTTCGAAATGGCTTCAAGTGTTGTATCATAACCCCTCAGTACAATCTTCCTGAAAATGATATCATAACCCTACAGAAGAATAATTTAAGTTACAAGAACATAACCACCATCTAATAGCTATGACCTAACAAAAAATGCAGACCCAGAGCTCTAGACAATTAGGTAGATGTTGAGGTATTTGCAGCTTACATCAAGTACGAAACAAATAACAAAAAACTAACAATTGGCCCTAATGAATAAATGGATGGCTGTCTATAAGCAAAATGTTTCCATTCTCTGGACAGCTGATACTTATCAAACTTGTTCACCAAGCAATAATCAAATAGTTCACTGGAGCATCATGGTACTGCACAATCCAACAAATTGACTAATATACAGCAAAAAATTGTGCATAGTCATACCTGATCAAGAAGCAAATAGTGCTTGATTGATCTCAGTTTGCCCATTAAGTCATACTGCCAGTAACACAGTAAAGAATCAGCAACAATTTGAAGTTTGAGCGGTGAAGGACAGCAACCAAAACTGACAGAGAAAAAAGAACCGCATTGCTGAACCAGACCTTTTCTTTTATGAGATTCAATAATTCACCACTAGCAAAATCATAAGCAGCTTTGATGCACTCAAGGTATCGATGATTAGACCCAACTGTCGTCAATTTTAAACTTTCTGCTACAGGAACCTACCCAAAAGCAATTTGATCAAGAGTTTATACTTGAATATTGAAGTCAACTGAATCATAAAAAACATAAAACAGTCAAGTCACATACCTGAATACTATGGCCACATTCTCTCATAACATTCAAATATTTTCCAGTGATCAAGATTGTTTCAGCAGCATTTGCAAGGAAACTAGGGATGTCATCTTTCAGGCTGTAGCGCTGTTGCCAATACTTTGCATCGTAATCATGAGTGAGACTTTCCTATTCAAAAGCAAATATAGACAGGTCATAACGCCGAAGTCTGCAGGATGCACATAAAAATGAGGTCATGCACACCTTCTGAAGAGACTGGTTCTCAGCAATGAAAAATTCACCATAGGGGTCATCGATCACTCCCTCATACACCCACCTGTAGTTAAAAGAAATTACAATGAACAATCTAAGGATGTTGAATATAATATATAATCCACAAATGCACAAGCCTGTATTACCAAAAAAAAGTTCTACAAAATAGTATGGTTAGAATGCCACTAATGGGGAAGTAAATTGTAATACCTTCATGAACTCCCAAACCAAGTTAGCTAATCAAATAGGTAATTTCCTTCTCAGTTCACTTTTTAATAACAAAATATACCGACCTCTGTGAATCCTCTACACTGTTCTCTATCGCAAGCTCATTATTTATTAACCAAACTAGAAGCTTGTGTGTGGCCAATCTAACATAATTAATCTACTTCTGACACATATTCGTTACACCCAAATATCAAACCAATACCTCTCTAATATTCCAAGATATGCTTGGTTTGCAGAGTGTGACATTTTTTCCAACAAGGACCTCACTACATGGTCTCCTGCCATGGCCTTCGCCTGTAATAGTTTTACAAATATGATCGTCAGGGTAAACAACCGATTCATATCATTTAACCTTCGTACCAATATTATGGCTACATTATAACATACTTGGCTCTGCAAGAGGTTAAGAACAGCGGAGCCAATGGAATTAGCAGCTGAAGCTTTCTTTATTAGTATGGATAATGCTAGCATTGACCCCATCATTGGCTGTAAGAAAGGATGAAAACAAGCCGGTGTAAACCGGATCAATAGCACAACAACAACTACTAAGTTAGATTTTAGTCGACAAACCTGGCAATAAAACCATAATCCTTGAATAGAAAGTTTCCCCAGACGAAATTGATGTTCGAGCTGAGCCACCATGGCTTGGTAATCCTAAACCTCACATTTACTTAAAATGTTAGTCTCTTTCATAATAATCAATCCTGTCGGAATATATAAGCTGGAGCGATTGCATTTCATACAGTGGGGCACAAAAACAGTTACATACAATGCTACGTTGTACGAAGCACACATTAAATGAATAAATAGAACATCCATCGATAACCCAACTAAAGACATGCTACATCATATAAAACATGCAAAATGTGGATACACCATCGATATAAAAGAATCCAACACTTTATTCTTTCACAATGCATGTCATTCCAGGGTGCAAGTGAGCAAACAGTTCACAATTAAAGGACTAATAGACTGACACGAAAGTAGAAGTTACAAGTTTAAAAGAAACAGAAAGGAGAAGGACGAGAGGAACCCACAAGTAGTAGTGTTCTAAGTGCAGCTGCAAAAGCGTGATTGACAAGACCACTTTTGAACTCGGACCTAGACTCGACAAATTGATTAATTAGTATGTAGCTCTCACAAAGGGGGAAAATCCGTTTAGCAGATTCCTGCAACCGTATAGGATAGTATAAATAGGTTGAACAAGATTCCTGGCAGCAGATGGATTAAATAAACTTTTGAAAAGTGCAGGGCACTCGTCCATACTAGACTGAAAACAAGCAACACATAGTTGTGTTTACCTGAAGTACCAAATCCATAGATGCATCAACTTGGAAGATTGCACTATCATCCTTCCCCTGGACTCTTCTTATCGAAATATATCGTCCTTCAAATCCAACCATAGCTGACAAGAGATCGTCAATAACAATCAACTCCTGAACATTACGCAAACAGGTTAACACGGAACAAAATCATGTGATACAAAGACCACCAACTGTCAGCAACAGGCAACATACTCAAGTGTAAGCCTCCAAGTCCATTTCGACCAACTTTAAAGTTTCACCATTACCGTATAATCCAAGGAGCATACGAGACCCATGTTTCGTGTATCATAAATGTCAAAACTACACATCGAGGGAAAAGGGCACATTTTATTCAGGATGTTTAGTAGTTTACCTGTATCGCAGCATGATAGCAACCTATCGACTTGTCCACTCCAGGACTGTATGAGCAAGGGAGAAAAACCAAAAAGAACAAAATAAACAAATGAAAATTAACTGATATAACAATATAACTGCAAAAGGATGATGTTGGCGACGGAGAAAATATTATCAATGCAAACAAAACAAACAAAAAACCTCAGGAGCACAACTATGGCAGCAGCCAGTTTTCGTTAGGTTCGAACTGAGACAGATTTTTTTTTTTTTTTTTCCCAAACGAACAAATGCATTAACAAACACAACTCTTAGAATCGATAACGAACTGAGACAGATTCAAACTAGAAATTTATTACAGAGTAAAGAAAGTTAACATTTTCATTTCCATACCCGAAAGTTTCCATGGAGAAACCCTTTGATTCAGCCAGCCCAGATGCAGACATCATATCCCGCACAAACAGCTTCAGTTAATCTTAAATACAAATAAATAACTTCACCGGAAACGCTGAAACAAACGACTGGAGCTCAAACGAGGGAAAGGGTACAGAAAGGGAGAAAAGTCGCCGGAAATTACTGAAAGGGCCGGTGGAGGTGGAATCGGCCGGTGCGTAAAGCTTATTATGATGCCATTGTCAACTAGAAATTCATTTTAGAAATTTTTTCGGCGGAAAAGCTTTTCAATTTTCATGAAAATTTTAAAAAGTTATCTATTGCTATATTTTATGTGATATATTTTTTTTTTCCTAATCAGCAAGCAATTCATTATTTAACTATTGCGGGTGAGAATATCGTGCGATGATGGACGGGCATTTCGTACTTTGGAACATATTTATAAAATTTTATTTTAACAATATATTAGCCCGCTGACATGTTTATATTAATATAAATTATATTTGAATATATATTTTTACTTTTTAATACTGAAAAGTAATAATTTTGTACATTTTGGTTCATCATAATATTCAAATATTATTGAGAAAATTAAACAAGGTGATAAAAATTAATTTTTTTTTGTTTGTTTGGATAAAACATCAAATTTTTTGTTCGATTAAAAATTTAAAATTTATTCATAATATTAATTATTTATTGCGGAAACCAAACCGAACCGGCGCCTAGATTTTCAGTTAAAAACCGAACCGAAATGTAAATCAGTTTTCGATTATGATTCGGTTCGGTTTTGACCGAATAAGCAGCCCTACAAATCCTACATCATCAAAGAGATATCTCCAATAAGATGGGCCACCTTTAAATCGCCAATATACTCCTCCTCAGTCCCATTGCAACAAGTGCAGAGTTTCGTCATTCGAACAAGATCATAATTTTCTAAATTGAAACTTCATATTTTAGAACGCAAATCTATTAATGTATAATAAGGATTAACATAATTCACATTTAGAAAGTCTTTCCCGCCAAAAAACATTAATTACACACTAAATATGGTAATTTTAGAATTTATTTTAAATAAAAAATATTAATTATATTATTATAGTTTTCTATTAAAATGGAATCCAGATTGTATTTAAATATTGCGTTAGATATATTCTGTTATAGCATATTTGTTAGCGGATTTAATGGTGCATGAATATTTTGTTAGCATATTTATAGATATTTATTTTATACATACCAATTTATTTACACTCAAATTATTTTAATTTATCATGATCCACTTTTTATGGTAGATGTTGGGTATTTTATCTTCATATCAACATATTTTAAAAAATCAGTGATATAGTCAAATCATTTTTATTTGGATTCTTGGATCCTTTGTTATTGTATACGTTTTCAATTAATTTAAAATCAAGCATTTTCATAAAATCTCGATTTTTATGAAAATGATTATCTCAACTTATATTTTTTATATCTATCATATTTTATAAAATTACTTATTAAAAATAAAATTCGTTTTATCAAATCATTTTATAAAATCACGGTTTGTATGAAAATAATTTTGTTGAGTGTAATTTTTTATATCTATCAGATTTTATAAATTATTGATTAAAAATTGCAATCACATTTTACAAATGGGCAATATATATTTTTTATTTTTATTTTGCAAACAAACTTTAAATCATCAATGGTATTAGACATATTATATTCACAATTTGAAATTTTATATATTTTTTTTATAAAAATAAGATATAAAAGTGCAATATAAACAACTACAACATTCTCAGTTTTTCCAATAAAAAACGTAATAAACAGCGCATGAAAAAACTACACAATTTTGATGATACACAATTAGCATTCACGTGAAAAAATGTACAATATGAATAAAAATCACCATTAGCCATCAATGGTATTAGACATGTTATATTCACAATTTCAAATTTTATACATTTTTTTTAAATAAAAATAAGATATAAAAGTGCAATATAAATAAATACAACATTCTCAGTCTTTCCAATAAAAAACGTAATAAACAACGCGTGAAAATAATACACAGATTTGATGATACACAATTAGCATTCACGTGAAAAAAATATACAATATAAATAAAAATCACCATTAGCGTTCAATGTAATTTTATTTCCATATTATTTGTTGTTAAAACGATTAATATGCTTATAAGTATCATATCAACCCCACACAAAAAAATCACCATTGACGAACATACGAGTAATTAGTGAATCCATAGTAAGTGCCAAACAAAAAATAGATCAACCTTTCCGTCTTATCGAGGAAGTTGAACAAGCAAAGAGAGTTATGTTTCAACTTCGAGTGGTTCGCATCTTTGAGAGTAAATTTCCTAATTCTTATCATAACATCATAGAACTTATTTTTCATAATATTGATGTATAATATTGTTTATTGTTTCTTTTATTTTTTCACTTTCATTTCGTTATTTTTTTGTGGAGACTTCTGACAAATACTTCCAGTTATTTCAAGGGGGAATTGTTAGGATATTGTGAATGCAACTATTAATGCTTCCACCATTTGGAGGGATCGTATTGTGTTGCGACTTTCAAAAAACATGCGTCTTCAGGAAATTTCTGATTCGGACGAACGTGACAAGGTAGCAACGTTTACTGATTGGATTGTTAGCATTGGAGATGGGCATGTAGGAGGATAAAACGATGGTTGTACCTACATTAACATTCTAGATGTTACAAGATTGGAACCCTTCGATGATCCAATTGCTACAATCGTGAAAAGTACCTATCCAATGTTCAAGAATACAACTGACAATTCAAGATATTTGAATGATAGTGCTCTATTAGCGCCTACTTTGGAGGTCGTTGAGTCTATCAATTAATACATGTCGGGGAGATGAATTCTGACGAAGGTCGTATGTATTTGAGCTTTGACATTATGTGGAAGTCCCACTCGAATAATGACTTTTTTGTTTTGGGCAAAATTTCCACACTTCCGAGTTCTTGAATAGCATCAAGTTTTCAGGAACACGGAACCATGAATTGCATTCGAAAATTGGAACTCCAATCATGTTATTAAAGGACGTGGACTATTCTATGGGACTGTGCAATGGAACACTCTTGGTTGTTACCAAGTTCTCTACTCATGTGCTTGAATGTAAGATATTGACTAGAGATCATGAATGTGAGAACGTGTTGATTCCTCGAATTAATATGATACCTTCCGATGTTAGGGTTCCATTTACGTTCCAGCATAGGCAGTTCCCCTTATGATTTTGTATACCATGACCATAAACAAGAGTCAGGGTCGTATATTTTCTCATTTTGGCATGCTCTTAAGAAAATCGATATTTAGTCATGCCCAATTATATACTGTTGTTTTGTGTGTAACTAATATGAAGGGGTTCAAAGTATTAGTTTGTGAGGACGATGAGTTGCCCGACAATCAAACTAATAATGTTGTGTATAATGAGGTTTTTAATAATGAATGACTTTTTCATGACAAATTTTTTATGATTACTTGACAAATGCTCTATGTATTATAACTTATTGATTAATAATCTTTAATTTATAACCTTTACCAAAATAAATATTGTCCGTGCATCGCACGAGTTACGTACTAGTATAATAAAAACATGATATTATATATTAGTATAATGGTGCATTTTTGTCGGGTGTGAAGGATCGACCTAATGTTTTCACTCGATCTATCTATATATATAATTACTAGCTAATACATTTAAGAAAACATTTAATAAAACATATTTTCATTTCACTTCAAAAAGAGTTACATTTTTTCTTAATTAATTTCTCATTAATCTACTAAAACCATTACATCTAAATATAATATATATATATATATATATATATATATATATTATTTATTTTTTGGATTAGTTACTCAATTAATTCTAAATTTGGTAACAAAATATTCAAATGTATAACGGCTAATGTTGGAACTTAAAGTTGATTGACACATTCAGAGCTGTAACCGCTATATTTAGTTGCATTGTTGAAAGAAAAGTATGATTCGTACATTTTTTTCTTCTAAAAATCAGAAACACCAATAATTTTTTTATTTATGTTAATTTTCTTAATACATGCCACAAATATATAAATTATTTTATTTATGTTACTAATGTAAACGTTGCATGGTTAAAATAAAATTTAAATCTCAATTAATTTTGAATGATAAAAATAACTTAAGAAAAAATTATAGTTTTTATATGACAGAAGTACACGTCTAATTAATAAATACAAACAAAAACATGTTTTATATCTGTGCAAATGCACAGGATCAAGTACTAGTAATTGTGAAGTATCATGTGTTTTTTAATGGTTAAATTGTTATTTATTACTCTTTAAATCAAGAGTCGCCAAACAGTCAGCCGCAAAGTTAATTTATCAATTTAATGAGTCTTTTTTTTTTTTTTTTGCCAAACCGATAGATGTTCTATTAAAAGCACAAAAGTGCAAAAATTACAGGCTACAAAACCCCAAAAGGGTAATGATGGACCCCAACAGGGTAATAGTACAGGGGCCAACGGCCCAAACAAAAAACACACCTAAACACCAGAAAATAGAAACTGAGAGGACACGCACAAGGCAGCCTAGAGAACTCAACAAACGAAAATTAAGGAAAATGATAAACAGAGCCACTGCACACTGACTAACTTGTAATCATTCCCAAAACTAAACCACACAAAATAGAAAGCACAAGATACAAAAAGGGAAGAAACTAAACAAACTGAGACACAAAAACTAAATAAAACAAAAGCAATCCTCCCCCAGAAATCCGATGAACCGAACCAACAACTACATCTGACTCTCGACCGGGCCCCTAGCCAAGACCCACCCCCGAAACTGCACGAGGTCTATACAAAAGGCAGACCCTCGCCCCCGAACCTGGTCAAAGAGCCAGAACCCTCCAACCGAGGGAGAACCAACACGGCAACCCCAACCAGTACAACCGAAGTCCGGCTAACACCACTAGCCAAACTTGGATGTGCCGGATTCCAAACCTCCCCAATAGCTGAGAAAGACAGGATAGTCGCCCCATGCCCGAACCCCAGCCCGGCAGCAGCCACACACAACGCACAGTAGCCACCGGGGCCCCAACCCGATCACCGCCCCACGAAACTCCCCGACTTCCCCGAAACAACCCAACCTGCTCCCCTCGCCGGAACCCCAAACCACAGACCACAGCCACCCACCCCAGCCAACCACCTTCCCCCGAATTCTACCAAGCAACCCAACTCCGTCAATCCCAATCCAAACCACAAGCCCCAACCGGAACCTCCATCCACCAAAACTACCCTAAAGAAAAAAGGGGATCCACCCGCCAGACGAGGGAGGAAGCGAAAACTGGACACTCAGCCAGGCCCCGCAACCCCGCCTAAAAGACAGAGCCACTGAGACCAACCGGGCGAAGCAGAAGCCCCTCAGACGCCACCGAACAAAGGGGAAAACCAGGAATTGAGCCGCTACAGAGAAGCCCGGAGAAAATCGTCTACGGGGATGGGCGGGCGGCCAGAGACGGCCACTAATCCGACCACCCACCGCCGGAGGAGACCCACATAAGACGAGAACGGCGCCGCAAGGGTTTACTGTAGAGAGATGTCGAGAGATGTCGAGAGAGCTAAAAAAATTATATAATTTAATGAGTCACTTTACACTAAAATTGAAATATCATACTCCCTCCTATTCATAATAAGTGTCGTTTTGAGAAGTTTTACAGTTATTAAGAATATTTTTTTGCCGATAATAACCCTCATTAATGAAGATAGAGATGAATCTTTTGAGAAAAGATGAAGAGTGAATATGAAAAGATATAGTGTATTTATTAGCTAGATGAATGTAATAATGGAAAAATATGTACAAAATATTCAAAAGACATTTATTTTGTTAATAGTTGATAATGACAAATGACATTTAAAAAGAATATGAGGTAGTATTATATAAAAACAATACAAAAAACAAATATGACATTTGATAATGAACATTGAACAGTTTTTTTTTATCTTATGTACAAATTTGTAGTGTTTTTTGGTTGGCAGTTTTGCTTTGACTGCGAGTTGAGTATAACAAATGGCGTCCCTTCACATTCATCCGTTACCATTTTCTCTCTCTTCCGAGGTCCATTTTATCTCTCAGATAAAACCGTAGAGTTTGTTATTTGCTGAAATTGAAAAAGGTTGAGCAACTTTTATTTTCCCTTTTCTATTTCAATCTTATGAAGAGTTGCGAACTTTGTAAGCGGCCGGCGCGGACGCACTGCCCGGCGGACCAGGCGAGCTTGTGCTGGCCTTGCGACGCCGCCGTGCACTCCGCCAACTTCCTGGTGGCGAGGCACTCCAGGACCCTGCTCTGCCGCGTGTGCCAGGGCCCGACGCCGTGGTCCGCCTCCGGCTCCGAGCTCGGACCTATTTCCGCCGTCTGCGAGATGTGCGTCGATCGGAGATCAGGCGGAGGAAACGGCGGAGGCGGTTCGCCTTCGTCGGATGAGGTGGAGCAGGCGGTGGTAGAGGAGATTCAGGTGGTGCCATGGTCGCCGCCGCCGGCCGAGAGCAGCTCAAGCGCCGAGGAGACGGAGGTATCGGGGAAGCGGCGACGGACGGGCGGCTCTTCTGGAAATTTCCGATCCAATGTGATTATTGTTTTTTTTTTAGGCCGATTAGTTTGATGAACAGTTCATTAAATTTATGTTCGATTGGGTAATGAATGGTGGGGATGCAATTGTTGATTATTTTGCAGGAAGATAAGAGCTCGTCGTCTACGCTCAACACATTAACTCCGCCGCCGGCGGCGGCGTGGCGGAATGCGGGTTCTGATCGGGTGGGTACATGCGGGTCGCCGCGGGGTCGGGCGTTTTGGAGTAGGTGATGAGTATATTTTTTATTTGATAGGAAAGGAACGGGTTCGGGTTCGGGTTGAGAAAGGACCCGACTGGGTATGTGGTAAGGGCCGTCGATGTGAAAGTGAGATAATGACTCTCAGCCGTTAGATACTGAGAACTGATCTCTCTCTCTCTTTTTATTTTTACTATTCCTGTTGAAAAAATTATTGTGCTGTAATTGGGATTAGTGAGTGTGAGTGGGTGATTAATTAGAACTTACGCAATGGAAATCTGTTTAACCCGCTGAGTTTGATTAATTAATTAATTCGGTTAATTGTATAGTAATAATTTTCGCCCCTCATTTATTGGTCTGTGAAAATAATTTATCACAAGTTCTAGAATGATACAAAATCTAAATAATAAATATTACGTGGTGGTCAATTTTTAACAGTTTGATTTATATGATGAAATGTTATATTTTATATGTCTTTGTTTAATGTGCAACATTTTAATAAGTGTGTATATATTCCTTTTTTTTTTTTTGACCAATTGAATTTATAAAACGAAACAAATAAATACAGATTGAAAAATAATTAAAAAGTCTAATAGACCAGTCAGCCTGAATCTGGTCGGGAGAACTACACTAAGTATAATTTAGAATCAACCTAAAAAGAACTACACTAAGTATAATATAAAATCAACCTAAAAAAGCAAACACACGCAAGCTACGCAACGCTAAGAGGTGATTGTTTATTAATTGAATTAAAAAAAATCAATCAAAATTAAAATTTAACTCAACTTTAACTCACATCACTATCCTCAATATTATCGAAATATTTATATAATATCAACCAATCATTCTTACACATCACATCAACTTTAATTCACTATTCATTAACTCACATAACTTTAACTAACCATCACTTCCTATCATTTTTCTCTTACTTTACATCAAATCAACTTTCAATCATTTTTCACTAACAACTAATCATACTATTTTTTTAAAAAAAAATTACAGTTAAAAATCAAACCAAATAAAAACTAGTTGAATCTATAAACAATCACCCTAAGAACTAGAAGATGTAGCCATATTTTTAACTCATATATATATATATATATATATATATATACTAGTAGGACCGACGACTGTGCACGCACAGCCGGCCCTAGTCCAGTCTATTATTACAATGAATATTTGTCAAAATTTTAAAATACACATACTTATTCTATATGGCATTTATAAATGCAGTTTCAAATAACTTAACAACAATATATAAAGAACTAAACAATACAATAATATAATGAGTTGTTTACGAATTCATAAAAGTGTAAATAAAATCTTATTGGTGGAACACAGTATTTGAGTTAGCAATCCAACGAAAAAGCATGACAAATGCGTATATTCATGTCCAGTGCATACATTACTACGCCCATTTTTTTTAAATATTTCGGGTTTAAATGTTGTCGTACTCCTCTCATCTTACAAATTACAAAAGTCACCATCGTCTCGTATTCCATCCCAAACACACAGCTCCATGAATACATAAACCTAAAGAATAAGCAAAAAGGACAAAAAAGAGACATATGGAGTAAAAAACATAAGAGACAAATAAACCCAAGCAAATAAAAAATAAAGCAAATATTGTTATAAACAATTTGTGGAATCTTACCACTATTAAAACTTATCATTGTATTATTATATTAATGTTGTGTTAAAATGTGTGCCCATCTTTGCCTATAAAAAGGCAACAAATGTAGTGCATTATGGTGTGCACATTTTGAGTGACGGAAAAGAGAAAGAAAGCAGCTTATAATTTGTTCCGGTTTTTATACATTGTGTTCTTTATTTTCATCGCATTTTATAACACGTTATCAGCACGAACGCTCTACCCGGTCAAGAAAGGTAGGATATATATACATATTACCATTATTCTTGACAAGCTAGGCTCTGCCACAGTCAAGGATATATATACATATTGCTATTATTTTTGACAAGTTAGGCTCTGCCACAGTCATGGATATATATATATTACCATTATTCTTGACAAGTTAGGCTCTGCCACAGTCAAGATATGTATACTAAATATGATATTATCTACACATTACCATTATTATTGGCAAATTAGGCTATGTCATAGTAAATAATATGTGGTGATATGATATTATTAAATTTGCTTATGAATTATTTTTCAAGTTATAATAAATGTTATTATTTATACTTAACACCCACAAAAATGGTTTAACCAGTAATGTGGCGTGACATTATAACTGCTTATTCTTGTACCCACCGAAAGATTTATCGAGTAGTGTGGAGTGACATTTTTATTTGATTTGTTATTTATTAAATTGTTTGCGTAATGACTCGGTGAATTTTTAAGGTAATATACATGTTTAATTAAAATTTTATGATCATAAATGATTAATTAGCAAATATTATATCATTAAATTTGTTTCCAACGGCTAGTTAACGGTTATTTTTGTAACGGCTGTTTACCAATATCTATATATAACACTACAATTCATTTTCATAATCCAAACACTCAAAAATATATTTTTTTAAGAAAAAAAAATGTATGATCTATTGCTTATAATTACCATTATCTTGTTTATTATATATGTTTTGCTAATTTTCACGATGATGTATCGTACTGTTGGATTTAAATTTTATGTATTAGGCCTTTGTATAATGTGTTTAGTATTTGCTCTTTTGTATGTATTGAAGAATTAATAATTGTACATGTAATTTTTCGAATCTAAGCATTGATGTTTTATTTTATAGTTATCATGGCAAATCTGGTCAAACTCGAATTTGAAGCTCTCGATATATCTGGAAAAAATTATATCTCATGGACATTGGATGCTGAAATTCATTTGGCGGCAAGGGGATTAGAAAAAACAATAATCTCCCCAAATGATTCATCAATACAGGATAAAGCTAAAGCAATGATATTTCTGAGGCATCATTTGAATGAGGCTTTGAAAAATGAATATTTAACTGTAAAAGATCCTGCAGATCTCTGGAAAGCCTTGAAAGAAAGGTATGATCACCAGAAAACGGTAATTTTCCCCCGGGCTAGTTATGAATGGATGCATTTACGCTTCCAAGATTTCAAAACTGTAAACGAGTACAATTCAGCCATGTTCCGCATTTGCTCGGTATTGAAATTATGCGGAGAAAACATAACTGATTACGATATGCTGGAAAAAACGTTGTCCACGTTCCACGCTTCAAATGTACTATTGCAGCAACAATACAGAGCAAAAGGCTTTGTAAAATATTCTGAGTTAATTTCTTGTTTGCTGCTGGCTGAACAAAATAACGAGTTGTTGATGAAAAATCATGAATCTAGACCCACGGGGTCTACTGCGGTCCCTGAAATAAATGCTGTAATATCTAAACAGGGAACCGGAACTGAAAACAACCAGATATATGTGCGTGGAAATACCTCGGGACGTGGCCGGGATCGTGGACGTGGACGTGGCCGTGGCCGTGGATATGGCCCAGATCGCCGATTTGACCAAAACTTCAAATTTCACAGAGGGTACAACTCGGGCCGAGGGAATAATCGTGGACGAGACCGTGGCTATGCCCAAAATTTTGAAAGGGGGAGAAATTTTCAGCCAAAATTTGAACAAAATAATGTGACGGAAAATAATAATGAAAATGCATGTTATCGATGTGGAAAGACGGGACATTGGGCACGAAACTGTCGTGCTCCGAAACACGTTGTTGATAAATATAATGATTCCCAGAAATCAAAAGATAAAAATGTAGAAACTAATTTTATAGTTTGGGAATCCTCTGAAAATAATACAACACGTGTAGATGATGACTATGGCATCGATGACATGTTGAACCTGGATTTTGCTGATACGGTATTTGAAGAAAGAGCTGGAAATGACCAAGAGAACAACTGATTATCCTGTTTCTCTTATTGCTTTCTAAGTTTTTGTTGTATTTGCGTATTTGTACTAGTTGTATCTGTATTTCAAATTTAATCAATAATAATGTTGTTTTCTTTTAGATCATGGATCGATCTCGAATCCAAAATGGAGATATATGTCTTGCAGATTGTGCAACTACTCATACTATACTCAAGGACCGAAAATATTTTGTCGACTTGAAATTAAATAAAGCAAAGGTAAACACAATATCTGGAAATGCAAAGATAATTGAGGGTTCTGGAAAAGCCATATTTTTTATGACGGGAGGTACACAATTTATATTGAATGATGCATTATTCTCCCCAAAATCAACAAGAAACTTGTTGAGTTTTAAAGATATCCGAATGAACGGATACCATGTTGAAACAATGAATAAAGGGGGAGTTGAATATCTTTGCATTACCTCAAATATTGCGGGAAATAAATGTGTTTTGGAGAAATTGCCAGCTTTATCCTCGGGCTTATATTACACCCGCATTTATATTATTGAGACTTATGCTGCAACAAAGTCACAGGCAAATGAAATGTTTAAACTTTGGCATGATAGACTTGGTCATCCTGGCTCGATAATGATGCGAAGAATTATTGAAAATTCTAGTGGACATCCGTTAAAAAATCAGAGGATATTGCAAACACGTGAATTGACGTGTACCTCATGTTCTCAAGGGAAAATGATAATAAGACCATCACATACTAAAATCGGACATGAATCACCGTTATTTTTGGAAAGAATTCATGGTGATATATGTGGACCTATTCATCCACCTTGTGGTCTATTCAGATATTTTATGGTGTTAATTGATGCTTCTAGTAGATGGTCTCACGTGAGTTTGTTATCCACTAGAAATGTGGCATTTGCTAAATTGCTTGCCCAAATTATCAAATTAAGGGCTCAATTCCCAGATTATATTATCAAAAGGGTCAGACTGGACGATGCTGGAGAATTTACATCTCAAGCATTTAATAATTATTGTATGGCAGTGGGAATTGATGTTGAACATCCTGTAGCACATGTTCATACTCAAAATGGTCTAGCAGAATCATTGATCAAACGATTGCAGCTTATAGCCAGACCATTGATAATGAGAACAAAACTGCCCAC